AAAAGCGCTGAATCTCATCTAATGATGAAGCTAGAGGTAGAAATGGTCCCTCTCAAGGAAAGCCTCCCATGGTACATTCTCACAGCAGAAGGAAGATATGAAGCTATTAGGCCCCTTACACCTAAAACACTTAGTTCAGCTGCATTTATGCCCATTAAAATATATGCTCTTGGCATTATGGTGATAGAGAGATAGAAGGACAAAGGAGGAGGAAGTCGGTGGAATAAGATAGCGAGAGAGTAGTGGGATGACCCTTGATAGGGAGGTTGTGTGATGCCATGCATTGCTGATAGGAAGAAGAAAGGCTGATAATGTGATGCTAGAGATAGAGGAGAAAGTCTTTGACTCACTTTCTCTCCAGCCCAGCATCAGTAATACAGGAAGTGAACAGATCTCTTTAGCCTCTTTAGAGATTTAGATAGAAATGAGATAATTATACATAGTACCTTTAAAGAATAAAAACTGCAGACCTCATGGGTACAGGCTCATCTGCTGACATGATTTAAAAAGACTGCATGCTTAGATTATATCACAACTAATCCTAAAAGGAAATATCATTATATGTTCAGTCGCAGGCTCCCCGAAGTGCAGTTTGGGATGCAGGTTGTAGACATATTAGTTTTACTAGTCAATTCATTGTATTCAAATGTGCCACATATGCAGTTAGTGGATAAAAAAAGGCCCACATTGTTTCCCAGCCATTAATTTGTCTAACTGCAGTAAACAAAAGAGAACATTGCTGAGAAAACCTTTCATAAGAGGAAAAAGAGAGACAGCAGTTGCCTACTCAGGTTTTTCTGGCAGGGTGTGGTTGGTGGGTCGGCTGCAGAGGAGGAGTAGAGCAGTGGGTTCGGGGTCTGGTTTTAGGGGAAGGTTGACACCACGTGAACACCACAGCTTATGAACATCATCTAATCACGCCTTCCCTATTTCAGTAGTCATCAGGGCCAGAAAGAGGACAAGTCGGATCAGCTGACAGAATAACAACAGGAGCAGAAATGAAAGCAGACTGTCAATCACTGGGTGCAAGAAAGTTGCTGGAAAGCAATCGTGACTGTGCAGGAGTGGAAAATAAAAGCACAAACAACACGAGCATAAAACAGAGTTGTGTTAGACCTTCAACAGTAGCCCTGAAGTCTGGCTGCATGTCGAAGCCCCAACCCAGGCAGCCGACTCAGGCACTGGCTGAGATTCTGGTGATGCAACAGGAGAAGGAGGCAGTGCATCCATAAACAACTGGAAGTGCTGCAGGACCAGGCTGAGTGGCAGACGGAGGTGTTGGAAAACCTCATCGCTTGGTCTGGTTCCTCCGAAGGACCACTGTTGTGCCGCCTGTAGATGATTCTTGACCCCCAGGGTTTGTTAGAGGTCTTTGAAGCCAGGGCAGAGCCTTTCCGGTGGCTGGAGGAGTGGGTCCTCTGTTTGTTGACATTGCTGTTGGGAGAGGCCTACAATGCCAGGGCGAAGACCTCCTTTGGGGTTGTCATTAGCAAGGGGGGCAAGGGGCGGATGTTGCAGTAGGACCGGCCCTTCTCCTCTGCAGGGCGGCTGCAGCCAGGCGGTTGCAGATTCAGCTGCTAAACAACGGGGCGAATTACGAAATTAATTCGTTCCCGAGGGTCGAAGCATCCATCGCGCCTTTTGAGTGAACGATAGGCTATAGGCTAATTGCTAACTGCAACAACAATACGTTGTTCAAGTGGAACAGCGAAGCGCAAGTACGAAAGCCAAGGGGGTTGTCACATGCTTCGGAAGGCATTGTGGGCATTGTAGGCATTCTGGGCTCAGCCAATCAGAGCCAGCAGATTTCGTTACGTGGGCATTTTGCCGTAACACGGGCAGAAATATTGCCGTTAAGTGCCTTCGTAACTTGAATTTTTCGTTAAATGGGGTATTCGTAAGTCGGGGTTCCACTGTATCCTCTAGTGCCAGTGGAAATTAAGCATCAGAGAAAACGCATAAACTGAAGGCCAGGGTTAGCCTGGGGTGGACACACCCCTTAATTTTGGGAATGAATTGGCCAGGGTTCAGTAGATTAATGAACCCAGTGTGTGGAGGCGTGTTCACGATTGGTAGGGACATCCAGAGTTGGTGCTGCATTCAGCGTTGATGCAGGGTTGTCTGAATATGACTGTGGAGGAGGGGATGGTGGGGCCTTTACTGGAGGTGCTGTCAGTCCCAGTAACCCACTCCACAGATTTTCCAGTAGAACAGACTCGTGATGACACGCTACACTCAATCTTTGACTAAGTGATTGAAATAGATGGTCAAACTGCGTGCCCTGTAGCTGCACAGACATTCCCACATTTTGAATTGATTAGGGACAGTACAGAGGGAGTCGCGACACTCACAAGCACGTAAAACCCACCCAGTTGTTGGTGCGGATTAAGTATGATAAAACTGTGGAGCTGAGCCTGGTTAAAGAACGAGATGAGTTGGGGCCAGAGTAGTAGTTCTTGTGGTAAAGAAATATGTGTCGCCTACCGAAAGGTGAACGAGGGGTCACAGTTGGACGAATACCCGATGCCCCACATCGACGTGCACCTGTGCCGCGTAAGACGGGAGGGGAAAATAAAAGCACAAAGAACAAAGCATAAAACTGAGTCCTCTACATTTTTATTAATAATTTATTAATTATGTTTTTTTTCCTGGTCATCACACTAAGCCATCCAAATTAATTTGACGCTGGTATTTTTAGTGTTTTTACATGTAGCCGATTAAGTGGAAAGATTCCAGTGTAGTCTGTACATAATGTGTTTTGGCATCAGTGCAGCTACTCATCCAAGTCAAATACTTCTTGTCAGTAATAACAATTAAGTGCAAGAAAGACTTGTGTGAAACTGAGTTGACTTTCTCCGTACATGAAACTGAAAATAACCAAACAAGGATGTAACTTCTGTAAAGTGAACATAGATGGTCATGTTTCACCTCAGTATATGTTTTAGCAGAGTACATTTCATCTAAAGACTTAAATGAAAAAAACAAACCTTTATAAATTGATGATTTCAGTAACTTGTCTTGCATGGTACTGTTGATCCTAACACTGTAATCTCTGATGGATCACTTTGGGATTTGTGGAAAGACTCAAGCTCCCCAGAGCTGATGATTGTAATTATTCTCTTCCTTAAAAGCCACCAACGTGTGTTTGGCGTCCACCTTTGATAAAATACCGCCAAAGTCAACGAAATGCCCTGAAGCCTCACCTGCATTTGGATTTAGTGCTAATTAATGTTAGCATGCTATCACCTGCTAAAAACTGCCGTGCTAGCATTGTAATTATGTTTCTTAGCATATGTCTGTGAAGGTTCTCAGTCATCCAGGTCATCGTAGTCAAAGGAGCTTGCAAAAAAAAGCGTCTGGACTTCTTTAAGTTACTTGAAGACGTTTCACCTCTCATCCGAGAAGCTTCTTCAGTTCTAAGGTCAAATGGTGGAGAGTCCCAGATATAAACCTAGTGGGAGTTTCCCCCCACAGAGGGACAAAAGGACCCCCTGATGATCCTCTAATCGCCTGAGCCAAGGTGTGAAACTGGGTGTGGGTCCCAATCAGCCAGAGTTTCGGGTGAGCTCATTGTGAAACCTGGCCCCACCTTATCATGTGATTTCCTGAGGTCAGATGGCCCAGGATGTGAGTGGGCGTTAAGGCGTCTGGGGAGGATCTCAAAACTGGATTATAGATGGCAGAGAGTTGGTGTCGTAAACCCCGCCTCTGTTCAAAGATGGTCGCTCACAGTGGACATAGATGCTTCTTTCACTCCTCTTTCAAACCATCTGTCCTCTCTGTCCAAAATGTGAACATTGGCATCCTGAAAGAGTGACCTTTGACCTTTAGATGCAGATGGACTGCTGAGTCTTGTCCTGTGGAGGTGGCTCTTCTGTGTTGTGCCATGCGCTTGTGAAGTGGCTGTTTGGTCTCTCCGATGTAGAGGTCTGAGCATTCCTCGCTGCACTGTACAGCATACACCACATTGTTAAGTTTGTTTTTAGGAGTTTTGTCTTTTGGGTGAACCAGTTTCTGTCTGAGTGTGTTGCTGGGTCTGAAGTACACTGGGATGTCATGCTACACTTGAATCACAAGAAGTACTGCAGCATAAGGAAAACTGCAAACATTAATATTTAATGTAGGCCAATACAAGATCCCTCAGTGAGGTAAAGGAGGTAAACTAAATAAGTACAGGATAAGTCTTATATGTTATCAGTGTTTGCCTTATGTCTTATATAGGTATAGGTATTTTTGTGAGTGCTCACAAAGAATACAACATATATAGTCATAAAAAAAGAGGCCACAGTGGACTGCAAACCATTACGTGAAATAAGTATTTGATCCCCAAATAAAGCAACACTTGGTATTCATGGAGAAGCCTTTGTCACGGGGCAGGATGTGTCTTGAAGTTGGTCACCAGGTTTGCACTCATCTAAGGAGGACACGTGTCTCACTGCTCCTGACAGAAACTCTCTAAATCCTAAAGTGTTCTGGCTGAAAGAAGGAGGTTCTCATCCTCAATGTTACGGTCCATGGCTGAATCCATTGGCCCCTCAGTAGGCAAACAGCCCCAAAGTAATGTTTCCACCTCTGTGATTGATTGTGGGGATGATGGTATTTGTGTCCTAATCAGCATTTCTCTTCCTGGGGGAAACTGTGGTTTCCTCTGGGTTGTAGGCGATCAGATGCTTATTTTACTCAGTGAAATGGAAATCAGTGGATAATGTTTTGTTTTTGTTTATTGATCTAGCTATGTCTTTTTTTTATTTCTAGTGGATGTTCTATCTGTGTCTGTTATGGTGTCAGTTATTTTATGGTCATTTTCAGCTACCAAGCATCATTGTTACGTATAGACGAATATAAAACACATTTTTACTGGCTTTGTATTTAAAGAGCGGTGAGACAACAGCACATCATTTGAGCTTACCTGCAGTTTTATGAAGAACGCTCTAAATAAAAGTTAGTCGACAACTGGAAAACAAAATGTCTTTAACTCGTCTTTGTGTTCTTTCACACAGCTGGAGGTATCGACCACAGACTACAGTGGAAACCTTATCGAGGGACCACAAGTATTCAGGATTAATGTCATTGACCAAAATGACAACCGTCCCATCTTCAAAGAACCACGGTACACAGGAGAGGTGCTGGAGGGATCCCCTACAGGTAGGTGACTGTTGAGGGACTCTGGACAGAACTGAGGTCTAAATGGGTTTAACTACACAATAATGTTACACATAGTGTGGCTGTTACACTTGAGATGTTCTATGATCTGCAGCAAGAAAAGGTTGTGTTGATGACATTTATACTTCTGTCCTGACTTTAGTCTCTACTTTATCAGAATTTTCATTATGTGTGTACATAAGCCAAACAAGAGTTTCTAGCAAATTAAGATAATTATTCAGGTCATTTGGTAAATTATTTTTGTTATATTTTTAAATGTAGTTACTTGAAATGTGATCTTGTCACATCTGTTATAGACTTTGCAGCTGTTGCAGTAAATTGTCTTCCCATCTCTGCTGCAAACATCTCACGGTCAAGTGTTTCAAAATAAATCATTTTGAGGCATGGCTGGCAGAGCCTTTATGAAAACTCTTCACCTTTGACTTCTGGTGTAAATGTTGATATTCTCTTAGATGTATTTGTCACTTTGTCACCATCGCTTCCTTTCCCGTTCTCTGAGCTGCTGTCACTGCTATAACTGTTGTTTTTTTAATGTGACAGCTTCGCACTTCGAGCCCAGAATATAAATAAATGCAGCTCAGACGTACATGATTTCAAAAAGTCCTATTTTGCTCACCTTCTGCCACCTGCATAGAAATGCAGGATGTCTATGCATAAAGCTGAAACTTCAGATTGAAAAAATTGTTGCTTTTTCTTCACGGGTTATATAGAACATGATTCATAGGCAATAATTTGCGGAGGTGGTAACATTTTGCACAAAATGTCTTTTGGTGCGTTCTGCCAAGTTTTGTTTGGGCGTTAAATGGTTTATTGTAGTGAACACATTTCAATTTATGTCACATAAAAGTGGGTTACTTAAGCTGTTTCAAACTTTCACAAATGGATGCACTGCTTTCTGAAGACAAACAGGGGCGACTATTGTGTCTTTTACTTGTGTCAGTTCATATGAGCAAAGTGTTTTCTTCCAAGTCAGAATGTGTTTTCAGCTGTCATAGTTGCGCTGTCCATGGTGCTGATGATGCTCGTGTGTCCCTGTTGGGCAGGTGTACACCTACAGACCCTCTGGGAGAAATGCAGTCAATGTAAAATATAAAGTTATATGATTAGAAGAACAAATGGTAAAATAAATACACGATGCTTCTCACTGTGTTTGTTCTGACGTTGTGAACACAAAAAGCAAACTCCTAAACACCTTAATCACCAACAGAGCTTCCCGGATAAGATGGATGAGTCACCAGGCACAGGAGACACACACACACACAGACACACACACACACACACACACACAGCACACACACACACAGACACAGACCCACACACACACACACACAGACACACACACACACACACACAGACACACACACACACTACACGACACAGACACACACACACACACAACACACGACACACACACACACACACACACAGACACACACACACACACACACACACACACACACACACACGACTTCCCACAGAGACGTTTTGAGCTGTTGACAACTTCATGCTGACTTGTGTTATGAATTGCTAATACAGACGTTGCTTATGCAATGGTATACATTTGGTAAGCAACAGCATGTCATTACTGGCTGTACAGAACGAGATAATAGGCCGACAAACTGCACAGTTAAATCCTGTTAGAATAATACAGTCAAAACTAAAGCGCATTTTGATGTCAGAAATCATGTCAAAAGTCTCACTGTTGAGCTCTGATGTCAAGAAAATACCAAATAATTGGATGCCTTTGTTTGTTTTGGTCTCTTATTTTGCTACATTTTCACGATGTGGTTTCTAAGGCTGAGAATGTCTCGAAGCTGTGTCTGTTGCTTGTGGCTTTTTTCAGTAATTACAGTGATGCATGTGTCTGTGTGAGGTGTTTACATGTCACTGTATGTTTCTCTGCCCACTCTGTACAAACCCAGGGTGCATCAAACACAATAATCACATTCCAGAGTGCTTTATTTCACAGCTATTCATCACCAATAACTCAAACAGGTAGCTAGAAAGAGGATTCGTGAGGTTCACGTGGTTGCCGGTATTGGTAGCATAACAACACCAGTGGCTGTAGTGACTTCAGACCTGCTCACAACATATAGGCAGAGTTTGATTATTGTACGGACATATCTCATGTGTCCTGAGCACTTGTGAACCTTTGCAGGTAATATCCTGCTACGTATTTTAAAATTCACCAGAAATGTCCAGTACTTGAAATAAAAAAATACAGACTTTTGAAAATGGGCTCTTGTTGATACACCCTGTACTGGACTGTATATGTCTGAGCCAGTAGCAGCACCAGTAGCCTATGGGAATTAAATAGGAAATATGACAGGCAGGAAAATCTTAATTGGTTTACCCCACTGGGTGCAAGAGCTCATATAACCCTGGAACCATCACATCGTACTAGCTTTTAGAGATGAGTTGGTTAAGCAGACAGGTTTACTTTGACTTTTCTATTTCAGTGCCAGGAAATATCATTTAAAAATGCCTACTGGGTCAGCTCTGACATCATCTGTTAGAAACCATCATGCAGCTCCGCTTGATCAAATTTAAAATGCAATTAAATTATTGTGTATTCTTTAAAAAAAAAAGTGCCTGTCTGAATAAACCAAAGTAGATAAACTGATTTTATTTCCAGTGTGGTGTGATCTGACAGCTCCTTTGTGCTGTAGTTGCCATGGATGCCAGACTTAATTGAGCTCAGCGATAAGATGAAGGATGCGGTTCTGAAGACTGTACGTTTTTTTTAACATATGCCTGCAAATCTGTCGACTGAACAGTCTACTTATTCAACATGTCAGCTCAGCCTTATTGATGTGTTTACGATGAATCAGTCATTCAGTTCATACATTCAGCCGGTTGATCCTTTTATGCGTCTGGTGGTCATTAACTGCAGATTGTGAGAGGATTGAAGCAAACACAAAAACATATTTGTTAATGATTATTGCACTGCTTTAAGTGCACTAAGGTGCACACGCTTCTCTCTGGCTTTTTCTTTCTTTTTTGTCATTTTAGTTGAAAAGTGGTGGAGCACCATAAAAGGGGGCAGCGGGCCACCAATAAAATGTCTTTTCTGTGGCTGTTTTTTTTTCTTATTGGACAAAGAAGAAAATGCCGTGACAATAGTGAGCATTATATCCAACAGTGAAGTTACTGGACATAAACTCAAGCAATAAAGAATCCAATGAAGGATGTTAATAAGCTCTATAAGATTCAAGGGGGATATTTGTCTGTGGTTTCATAAACAGACCATGAAACCAGTGCCATGAAAAAGTAGTATTTGCAGTCTTCCAGATTTCTTAGTTTTTCACATATTAGAATGTACAATTACATGTTTTAGATCATAAAACTACTTTTCATATTAGACAAAGACAAATTAAATACAAAATATAATTTTAAGTGATTTCATTTATAAAAGGGAAAAAGCCAAAAAAGCCCTCGTGTTAAATCATGGATTGACTGTGATTAATCACAAGTTTTTTAACCCTTTAAAGCCGGTCGCAGTGGGCACGCTCTGTTTTGCGTAACTATTTTTAAATCCCGGAAGCTCTGCAACCACGTGAGCTAGCGCAAAAATTTTTTTGCATATGAAACCGGAGGAGTTGTACTTACATCTTATGCCATCAGCTTGTCCTCGGTCACAGTTTCCTTCCACATAAAGCTTTGCAAAAACTGCATAAAAAGCACTTGCAGCAACACAAACATAATATTCCAGAAACACGCTTTGCCGATCCGATCAGCTGTTCGTAACACTTCCTATGTTGGAATAGATGTCAGCGCGAACTTTCACATGTCTGCCATGACCTGCCCGAAACCGGAAGTGACGTCATTTTCGCAGTAGTTTTTTTTTTACCATCAGGGCCTCATGAGCCTATACTGGTGTTTTTAAAAGTCATGTTTGACTTTATGACTTTGTGTCGTTTCTGGGATGCTGAGGACTCATATTGCACTGCTGGAAATAGTTTATTTTGATGCATATGCTGCTTTTTTTTTTGCAAATTTGCATCATAATATTTATTTTCGTTTTTCCTGCAGTATATAAAAATTGGTGTATTTCAAAAATAAAACTATGAAGACACTCAAAATATATTTCCTGTGGTGGGAAACTATTTTGTGCAACTTTTTTGTATTTACAGTTTTGAGGGATAAGCCTCTTAAATTTCTCTAACTAGAAATATATGTTAAAAAAACAAAAACAATTTTCAATTTTTTGGTCGTTTATTGCACTTTTTTGCAATTTATGTAATTACTATGCACTTAATGTAGACATATTATTAAAATTTGGGCTATAATGGTTGTATTGATTTCAAGTTGTATAGCAACTTGAAATGCTCCCAAAAATGGCTCCACAGCATGTAAAAATATAATATAAGCTCTGGCGGACTTGGTTCTATGGTAGGTCTTAAAGGGTTAAGATGACTGTAATTGCACCACACCAAGGCTTTGTTACTGCTAAATAAGGAAATCACTCATACAGAACCTGTGTGACAAACTGAAGAAGGCTGATATATCTAAAAAAAAAAAGACCCAATACTTTTTGGAGAAACAAGGTGATTCCAGAGATTCCTAAAGTGGAGAACAGAGGAGACAAATGCAGACAAAACAAAGCGTGGAAACAAACTTAATGTTAAGTGAAAGCCAGCTGTTTATTATGGCTGAAGGAGAAATACAAAGCGATGCACAAACAATAACCTGAACTGTGAAAGCTAAATATAAACGTGGCCACATAGATACCTGGAACATGGAGACATGGCGCAAAAGACAACAGACAACCTGACACTGAACAAAGGAAGACACAGCAGGGTAGTAAGGGAAGTGGAAACACAGCTGACACAAATGAACATGACACCACGAGGGAAGCAAAACTAAACACACTGAACATGCAAACACGAGACTGTCAAAATAAAACAGGAAACGTAATGAGATGAAGACTGTGAGAACACATGACATGGAAAACGCAGACAGGAAACACATAACAGACTGAG